ATCATCATCAGCAGCAGCTTCAGCATCATCAGCATCAGCATAATCATAACCATCAGAATCTACAGCATCAGCATCATCATCAGCACCATCATCATCATCAGCTTCAACATCATCATGGTGAAGTAATCATCTGCAGCATCATCAGCAGCATCATCAGCATCACCAGCATCATCCTCATCCTCATCCGCTTCATCTTCACCACCGCCATTATCAGAATCACCAATATCAGCAACAACATACACATTACCAACATCGACAGTATCAGCATAGTCGACTTCTCGAGGGAGGCGGCAGGATGAGTTGATGCACCTTGCTGTCGGTGTTACCTTGGCGGGCATCCTGATGACAAAATGGTTCGTTTGTTTCCTCTCTCTCTCTCGCTCTCTCTTTCTCTCTCTCTCTCTCTTTCTCTGTCTCTCTCTCTCTCTTTCTCTCTCTCTCTCTCTCTCCATCTCTCGTTATCACTCCTTCTACCTCATCCTCCCACGTACCCCTCCTCATACCCATCGCCCTCCCTGTGGTTCTTGCTCTCAGGGCACGCGGGCACTCGCCACCCTCCCTTTCAGTCCCACTGCGCTCCCCACCCCTCCGATGCTCTCCCCGACGGAGGCCTGGGCAGGCGAGAGGCGTCTCTCTGCCCGAGCGATCGACCGAGGTCCTCGTGGCCCTGGACCCCCCCACGTGGCCAGCTCACTGGAGGAGGAGCCAGGCTCACGGGCGGGGCTTGGGGGGGGACTGGGAGGCAAAGGTGGGGGAAAAGCCTCGCTTCTGGGCGCGCAGTGGGGGAGCCCCCCCCATGGCCTTGGACCAGCCCCCCTTCTTCCCCGCCTCCTCTCCCTCCTCCCCCTCCCCACCCCTCTTGCCTCGGGCTCTCGCGCTCTGATCTGGGGCGCCGCCATCGCCGATGGCGCCGGCGGGTGCGGTCCAGCGCGCCTCAGGGAGCGGGTCTCTCCTCGCCCCTCGTCCCCCTCTGCCTCCATCCGTCCCCTCGCCTTCCCCTTAACCCTCTCTCTACCTCTGCGCTGGCGAAGGCGAGGCGACAGATCTGGGACCGACGGCGGCGAGGAGGCCTACTCGCCCCGCGCCCCCGCTCCATGCTGCCTCTCCCGCTCTGCCCGCCCGTCCTCCTCCTCCTCCTCCTCCTCCTCCTCCTCCTCCTCCTCCTCCTCCTCCTCCTCCTCCTCCTCCTCCTCCCCCCCTTTAGCCGACAGTTCGCGGCCCCGGTGTGCGCTGGAGGCCGCGTGATGCTCCAACGCGAGCGTTTGAGGCTCCAGGGCGCTTCGGGCCACGTCGGGGCAGTCGCGTCTTCGCGCGCGCGGGTGGCGATCGGTCGCCGACGTCCTCCTTTGAGGCTCCAGGGCGCTTCGGGCCACGTCGGGGCAGTCGCGTCTTCGCGCGCGCGGGTGGCGATCGGTCGCCGACGTCCTCCTCCACTTCGCGCCCGCGCAGGTGGGGATGAGGCGTCCTTGCTGCGCGCGGGGGTGCTCAGTTCTGCGCCCCGATAGATGGGCGAGGGGCAGCGATGGTCGCAGAAAAGGGGCCTTTCAGGGCCCAGAAGAGGGCCCTGAAGGGCCCGAAGAGGGCGCCTTTCATTCCCCCCCCCATTACTTCGCGCCCACGTGCGGAGATGGCCCCAGGCTGGAGCCCATGAGGACGAGCATTGCGAAAGAGGTCGGTCCCGCGCAAGGGTGGCAAGAGTGGCCCTGCGCCAGAGCGACCTCTGGCTCGCGGCTCTCCTCTCGGTGGGCGCGGGGAGGGCGTCAAACCCAAGCAAGCAGGCTGGCACAGCCACATCGTTAGGCAGCGATCGGCAGGCCTTCGCACCAGAAGCGTCCCTTGCATAAGGCCACTCTTGCTCTCAGCCCCGACAGGCAAACGTCCTGACAGGTCCGCCTGCATGTCGAGCCCATGCGATGCGATTCGCCAGCCGGGGCCGCGATCCCGATTCGATTCGAGTCGGCTCGATTCATCGGCACCAGGGCCGGGCGCGAGGATCCGATTTGAATTCGATTCGTTGATTCTCCGATCCGTTTCCGATCCGACCCGGTTTTGCGACTCGACCCGGCTCGGGCATGCCTGACACTTCCAAGACGCGCGGTCCGCCGCAGGACCTGGCGGGACACCCGGCGTGCAGCGAGGAGCCGCTGTGCAGGCAGCCCCAGGAGGGGAGGGTCGCGGGCCGGCGACTGCGGACGCCAGAGATGGAGGGAGGAGAAGGGGGAGGACAAGCTAGGTGCGCTCGCGTCATATCTGACGTCCTACCCCTCCCTCCCATCCCTTACCATGGCGCTGATTTTCTCTATCCGCGGACGCGTGTCGTACGGACCTGTGGCTCCGCGCGCGCGTGCGTAGTGGGTGGTGGTGCACGTGCGTGCGTGCGTGCGTGTGTGCGTGGTTGTGTGGTGGTGGTGGTGGTGGTGGTGGTGGGGGTGGTGGTGGTGGGTGCTGGTGTGGTGGTGGTGGTGGTGTTGGTGCTGGTGTGGTGGGTGCTGGGGGGGAGGTGGTGGGGTGATGGTGGTGGTGGTGTGCTGGTGGTGCTGGGTGGTGGTGCTGGTGGTGGTGGTGGGTGGCTGGTGCTGGTGCGTGGTGGTGGTGGTGGTGGTGATGATGGTGGTGTGTGTTGTGGTGGTGGTGGTGGCGGTGCGGTGCGTGGCGGGCGGATGGGCGCGCGAGAAAAAGGCCCGCGCTGGGACGAGAACGCCATCCTGAACGACGGAGGCCAAACACCGATCCGAAAATGAGGCCCACGCTGCAGCGGGAGCGCGATTCGGAACGATTCGGGAGCAGAAATGAAGCCTGCGCCTCAACGAGAGCAGCATTTTGGGAAAAAATGACGCCGGCGGCTCAGCGAGAGTCGTTTCCCGGGATTTCCCGGGAATCCTGTGTGTAAAAAATAGTACGCGGAGGGTGCGCGGCCATCACCCGGACGCCATCAGGGGAAGAGGGAGAGTATTTTCATATTGAGTAATTGTGGAGGAGGACGAGAGAGAAAAAGAGGGAGGACGAGGGACTGAGTTTGAGAGGGAGGGGGAGGAAGCTTCAATGCGAGAGAAATGTAAACATAGGCTGTCAGAAATCCGCGCAGACTTCTTGGGTCCGGCGAAAAACAGTAGGCGCTCTTTCGCTCGAGGGAAGGGGCGCAAGTACCATCCTCCTCCTCCTCCTCCTCCTCCCATCCTCCTCCTCTTTTCCTCCTCCTCCTCCTCCTCCTCCTCCTCCTCCTCCCTCCTCCTCCCCTCCTCCTCCTCCTCCCTCATCCCTCCTCTTCCCTACGATCCTCCCCTCCTCCCCTCCTCCTCCTCTCCTCCTCCTTCTCCTCCTCCTCCTCCTCCTCCTCCTCCTCCTCCTCCTCCTCCTCCTCCTCCTCCTCCTCCTCCTCCTTGCGATGCAGAGGCTGGGCCGCCGCGGCTCGAGCTTATATCTCAACAGCCATGGCAGCTCGAGGGGTGACACTTCCATCGAGAAGACACCAACTGCCTAAACGTAAGTCGGGCCTGTCCCTCTACAGGAGGAGTATTCCAAAGTAGTAACAACATAGTCTGGGGACGATGTTTTGACTATGTTTGCCCATTTGGATTTTTTTTTTTATTATGATATGTTTTTTCGCCCGAAATCCGCCTGTAGGGGGACATGCCCGACCTGAGCCTAAACATGAACGTTCGGAGGTCCGCTCGGGTTTCTTGGGTCGGCGCTGGGCCCCCCCACCCCTCCCCGGCGCGCGGAACGCGCCAGGGGTGGCCCGGCGCAGGCCCAAGACATCCGAGCGGAGCTCGGAACGTGCATGCGGGCGCGCAGGATCCAGCAGGACCTCGAGGGGCCCTGCACAGCCTGACTGGCCCGGACGTGCACTGACCCGGGCCAGCAGATCCCCGCCCAGAGATACGACGTCGTGATTGTTTCCATACGCGGTCCCGGGAAGGCTCGACCCGTTCCCCAGGACCGGGTTTGTTCATCCCGAGTCGTTTTCTGACGGTCCCGAGGCCCGGCGAGGGCTCCCAGGGGCCGGATTCCACAAAAACAAGGGAAACACCTCCGCCTTTTGGTTTTAAGAAAACACTTCCGCCTTTTGGTTTTTTTCCATGCGTTGGATCTCTGGGCGCGTCGAGGCCCCACCCGGCGGGGAGCTCGCTGGCCATGCCGCCCTCCGTCGCCCGCGCCGCGGCGCCCCGCTGCGCCGCGGGCCCACCGCTGCGGGCGCCGCTGCCGGGCGGGGGCCTGCGCGCCGCGCGCGCCGCCGGCGGCGTGGCGGCGGCGGCCCTTGCCGCAGGGAGCGTCGGCCACGCGCAGAGGGGGGGGGAGGGGTGAGGTCGGGCCTCTCCCTCTGCAGGAGGAATCATCGCAGGAGAGGAGAAAAACACACAGACACAATGGATCCTCGCTTCCCCAGAACATGTGGGAAACTATATGGGAAGTGGGGGGGAGACAGAAGCCCAGAACATGTGGGAAAATATGGGGGATCTTTTTATTGTGTGAATTTATTTGTGTGTCCTGGGGCCCCTTCATAATCTCGGAGGTTGGTAGGCCTCTTACCCTGGCACGTCGATTCAGGAATCGGCCGTGTTCGGTTCGCGGGAGGGCGTCGCGGCTGTCATTTTTGCGGGTCCAGGTCCGTCGGTTTCGGTCCCAGGCCGGTTTCATTAAAGTGAGGTTTACTAAAGGGATGTTTGTCCACCGCCGATAATCGAAAATGGTCAAACAAAAATAGTCTGGGGACGATGTTTTTTTATTTGGACTAGTTTTAGATATGTTTGGGGCATGATTTATTCCTCGTCCAGAATCCCCCTGTAGGGGGACACGCCCGAGCCAAGGGTACGGGAGGAGGGAAGGCGTCTTACAAGCACCCCTGCATCTCAGAAGGTGCGGGCCTTGTCTACGCACGCAATGCTGGCGTCCTCCAAGAAGCGGCCTCCTTCTAAGAAGCCTTCCCGCCTCCCGCATGCACCCGATGCACGCCGCCAGGGGCAGGCGTCGCTTCCACGCGGGTCTGCCGCGCCGGCGGGATGCGGAGGCCTGCGCCTCGAGGTCGAGTGCGGGCGCGATGGGCGCCTCGCAGGGTGCCGTCGTGGATCACAGCTCCTTCCCCCGGGCGGCGAGATCTGCAGATCTCCACCGCCGCTGGCAGGGCCCATCCCGGGCGCAGGAGCGGTGTGCATGGGATGCATCCCTGGGCAAGCCACGGGGGCGCACGCACCGCTCTTGGGCCCAGGATGGGCCTGGCCAGCAGCGGTGGACGCGTGCAGCGCGGATCTCGTCGCCCTGCCCTCGCCAACCTCAACGGCGCGCGGGTCGCGCACGTCGACCTGGACCTCGGAGTGGACTTCGCCTCGCAGGTGATCTCGGGGACGGCGCGTCTGAGAGCCGCTGCCGTGGCGGACGGCGTCGCGGAGCTGGTGCTCGACACGCGGGGCCTCGCCATCGATCGGGTCCGGTCTGGCGACGGGGCGGACCTCGAGTTCACGCTGTCCGAGGCGCACGAGGCGCTCGGTGCAGCGCTGGAGGTCACACTGCCAAGGTCTCTGTCGAAGGGGGAGGAGTTTGCCGTGGTGGTCTCTTTCAGCACCTCTCCCAGCAGCACAGCTGTTCAGTTTCTGGAGCCTGCCCAGACGGCCGGCGGCAAATACCCTTATTTGTTTACGCAGTGCCAGGCGATCCATGCCAGATCTCTGTTTCCATGCCAAGATGCGCCCGCTGCAAAGATGACATACACTGCCAGGGTGGTTGTACCATCCCCTCTCACCGCTCTCATGTCTGCAGTACCACGGGATGACGGCAGGCCCGTCGCCGAGCACGGAGCAACGCGGACATTCGCTTTCGACCAGGTGATCCCGATCCTCACCACCCACCAAACCACCCCAACCCAACCCGAAGGCTCAGATTTACCCTCGATTTCCAGTGGGGTGGGGTCCGGGACACATCGAAAAAACACATGTGGAACCCTTACCCCCCCCAACCCGAAATTGGGGTCTTCGGGTTGGGTTGGGGCGGTCTGGTAGGCAGTCAGATCCCGTCCTATTTGTTCGCCTTAGCCGTGGGAGATCTCGCGTGCCGTGACATGGGGCCTCGGTCGCGGCTCTGGTCCGAGCCCTCGGTGGTCGAGGCCGGAGCGTGGGAGCTCGCAGAGACCGAGGATTACATTGCAACGGCGGAGGAGATCTAAAACGACGCGAAGATCGGGACAAAATCGGATCGGGATAACTCGAAATCTCTGAGAATCGGCGGGTTTGGAGGATGTATTGGGCCCCGCGGCCGCTCCAGAGCGTTCCGGAACGCTCTGAGAGCGCTCCGGAACGCTCTGGAGCGATTTATCCCGATCCTAGCCCTGTTTTAAGATCGCTGGAGAATATGTGTGGGGCAGGTACGACCTCCTCTTGCTGCCGCCATCGTTCCCCTATGGGGGCATGGAGAATCCCTGCCTCACTTTTGTGACGCCGACGCTACTCGCTGGTGACCGCTCGCTCACGAACGTCGTCGCGCACGGGATCGCCCACTCGTGGACGGGGAATCTCGTCACCTGCCTCACTTGGGAGCACTTCTGGCTCAACGAGGGCTTCGACGTCTTTCTGGAACGGAAGATCCTGAGACGACTCACAGGGGACGCGATCTACGAGCTACACAAGGACGTGGGGAAGGTCACTTTGTGGAAGACAGTTGTTCGCATCGGGGAGGGTCACAACTTTACGCAGCTCGTGCCCAATCTGTCCGGGGGCAAAGACCCAGACGACGCATTCTCACAGATACCGTACGAGAAGGGCTTCTACTTCATCTGTTACCTTGAGGCTCTTGCCGGGGGTGCCGCTGCTTTTATGCCTTGGTTCAAAGACATCTGGCTTGGAGGAACATCCCGCAGTGTCACCAGTGAGGATCTTCGACGTTCGTACTCCGAGGCTTTTCCTCGCGCGGCAGCCAAAGTCGACTGGAACTCCTGGTTCTTCACGCCAGGGTTCCCAACGCTCGGAGCCACGGCATCAGTGGAGAGCCAATACGCCTCGGCCCTGGGTGCCGCCAGCATCGCCCTCGCGAGATCTTGGAGAGCAGCCGATGAGAAGGATCTGTCAAAGCTCGGGCTGCCAGATGACATTGCGGGCTGGTCGACGAATCAAATGGTGCTGTTTTTGGACGAGCTCTCCAAGGAAAAGTTGACGCTGGCGAAGTGCAAGCGCCTCGGGGAGGTGTACTCTCTCACGAAGAGCAGAAATTGCGAGCTGCGCCTGCTCTGGTACGAGATCGCGATCGCCGCCGAGTACAGGGAAGAGAGGATGGCAGCCGCTGCTTTCGCCACGGAGCAGGGGCGCATGAAGTTCGTGCGCCCGGTGTACCGGGCGTTGTGCAAAAGCAGTTCTGGGCGGCAGTTGGCGTTGGACACGTTTGCGGAGTACCGTTCCTCGTACCACCCGATCTGCCGCAAGATGATCGAGTCAGACTTGGAATTAGTTTGAGTACATCCTATTGGTTGCCACTGAATGGTGCGAGGGTGTGGACAGAGTTCGACACGCGCACCCTGCAACTGCAGATTGATGTTAGCAGTATGCTGGGCGTGTGTGCTGTGTGTGTTTTCAGTCGAGGCCAGACGTTCGGCTGGAGGTTCATGGAAAGATGCTCAGCGGACCTCCCCTGTCCTGAGTGCGCCCCGAGGCTGATAGGGGAAGGCACGATCGAGGTGCCCAAGTCTCCAGAGCCGAACCGCGATGTCCGAAGCTCTAGCGCTCTGACTCGAGCAGGCTCCGAGCGTTCCTCTGAGTCACCGCGGCTCGTGCTGGAATACAAGACGCCACGCTCCCAGCAGTTGCCTCTCCCGAAATGCCTTCTAGCTATTCGTGGGATGGACCTTCCTGGAGCCCAGCTCACAGATCTGTTGGACTCTAGTTCGACTTTGGCTCGACTCAACTTGGACGCAAGTCGACTGACTTACAACGCAGCATCGACGCATGAAAAGAGCGAGTGGTCCCCAGGAAGGTCCCCAGAACGAGCATCGAAGCTTTGCTGCAGCCTGGGATCCTCTCGGGGGCCCTGCAGCCAACCCGCACAGTAAGGATGATCGACTCCCCAAGGGTACCCTTGCAGCCTTGCCTCTTTGGTCATATTCGGTTCATCCTCAACCGCTTTCAATGCCCAGCCCCGCCCGAAGAGCCTTCGCATGGGCGTCCAAGGCCCCTTGCACCCTTGTGGCGCATCCTTACTGCACGGGCTGACTGTGGCCTCTCCGACGCAAGAGTGCCACCAGCTTCCTCCTCCTACCCTTCGTTCCCTCGTCGCCCTCCAGTAGAGCAGATCCCATGACATTGAGCCTGGCAGGAGACGACAACAACAGCAACAAAACATGCCCTGCCCGAGGCTCTGCGCACGCAACGCCCGGGGAGACCCGCCCCCCTCCGGGACTCCCTCCCCCGACCGCCCGGGCTGCTCTCGCTCTCGGCACGGGACCCGCTCTGCGGCACGACTTCTTCCGGCTCTTCGGATTGTATTTGTCGACTGGACGTAAGAGTGACCTTTCGCCGGAGTGACCTTTGGTGCGGGCAGAGATGGGTCCCCAGGTGGCTGAAAAAACGAAGCAGGAGCAGCAGCTTGCGCGCCCAGGTTTGGTCCCCCCGCGGCCCCCAAGAAGCCGCGCACCAAAGCTCACTCTTATCCAGGGTCACTCTTGCGTGTAGCCGAATTTGGACATGCTTTGGTGTCTTTAATGTGTATTCCAGAACCCGCCTGTAAAAGGGCATGCCAGACCTAAACCCAGATCCCCTCGCCCTGTGAAAAAACACGACGGGAGATGTTTTGCTATTTTCGGTCTCCGGGGGCCCTTGTTGGGCCTCGGGAGCGTCAAACAATTATTCGGGATGAAAAACGGGTCCTGGGGAAGGGGTCGAGACCTATGGAGGTCGACGTTGTGAAAAAATCACGACGCCAGGGGTCTGCGTAAGAGTGGCCCTTCGCCGGAGTAAACTTCGGTGCGGGCCCAGTGGGGTCCGCAGATTGCCGAACGAGATGCGATGGTAGCGTGTTGCGCGCTTGTGCTTGGTCCCCGCGCGGCCCACAAAAAGCCGCGCACCACGGGTCACTCTTACCAAGGGTCACTCTTGCGTGCAGCCGAACGCGGGCGGCGACCAGGCAGAGGTCCAGGGCGGCCTCTGCTCCCAGACCTCACCCTTCTTAGAGCATCGTGGGTGGAGCTTGCTGCGCCCGGGGGGCGAGCGGCAGTTCTCCTTGGAGTCGTGGCCCCTGATGCCATCTCTCTGGAGAGGCGAGCGCTGTGCTCTGCAGCCAGTTGGAGGCCAAACAACCGCGCGTATAAGCATGAGTTGTCCGAGGCTCGCGCGGGCGTCCCAGGCACCTCCGAAGGCCCGCTGCCGGCTGCGAGGGCCGACACTTTTGCGAGGACCCCTGCCACGAGAAAACAGACGTGGCACAAACTAGGGGAACAAAAAGTGGCAAAAACACAAAAAAACGAGGTCCGCGCGGATTTCTCTCGGATCGGCGCTGCATCCCCCTCCCTGGCGCGCGAAGCGCGCCAGGGGCGGCGCCGGAGGCGCCGCCGGGGGGCCCCAGCGCCGATCCGAGAAATCCGCGCGGACTTCCGAGTTTTTATGTTTCCCGGCGGAGCCGGGTGAAATTCCGTGCCCACCGGCTGACTGATGACTGACTGACTGAACGTCAGGGGACAGCTCGGGAGTCACATTTCAAACCGCCCGCGGGAGCGCAACCCGGCGGCGCAACCGCAACCGCGACCGGGCGACACATTTCAAAGCGCCCGCGGGAGCGCGCAACCGCAACCGCAACCGCAACCGGGCGACACATTTCAAAGCGCCCGCGGGAGCGCGCAACCGCAACCGCAACCGGGGCGACACATTTCAAAGCGCCCGCGGGAGCGCGCAACCGCAACCGCAACCGGGCGACACATTTCAAAGCGCCCGCGGGCGCGCAACCGCAACCGCAACCGGGCGACACATTTCAAAGCGCCCGCGGGAGCGCGCAACCGCAACCGCAACCGCAACCGGGCGACACATTTCAAAGCGCCCGCGGGAGCGCGCAACCGCAACCGCAACCGCAACCGGGCGACACATTTCAAAGCGCCCGCGGGCGCAACCGCAACCGCGCCGGGCGACACATTTCGCAGCGCGCAACCGCAACCGCAACCGGGGCGACACATTTCAAAGCGCCCGCGGGCGCGCAACCGCAACCGCAACCGGGCGACACATTTCAAAGCGCCCGCGGGAGCGCGCAACCGCAACCGCAACCGCAACCGGGCGACACATTTCAAAGCGCCCGCGGGCGCGCAGCAACCGCAACCGGGCGACACATTTCAAAGCGCCCGCGGGAGCGCGCAACCGCAACGTTTTTCAAAGCGCCCGCGGAGCGCGCAACCGCAACCGCAACCGCAACCGACACATTTCAAAGCGCCCGCGGGAGCGCGCAACCGCAACCGCAACCGGGCGACACATTTCAAAGCGCCCGCGGGAGCGCGCAACCGCAACCGCAACCGGGCGACACATTTCAAAACGCCCGCGGGCGCGCAACCGCAACCGCAACCGGGCGACACATTTCAAAGCGCCCGCGGGAGCGCGCAACCGCAACCGCAACCGCAACCGGGCGACACATTTCAAAGCGCCCGCGGGAGCGCGCAACCGCAACCGCAACCGGGCGACACATTTCAAAGCGCCCGCGGGAGCGCGCAACCGCAACCCAACCGCAACCGGGCGACACATTGCAAAGCGCCCGCGGGAGCGCGCAACCGCAACCGCAACCGGGCGACACATTTCAAAGCGCCCGCGGGCGCGCAACCGCAACCCAACCGGGCGACACATTTCAAAGCGCCCGCGGGAGCGCGCAACCGCAACCCAACAACCGCAACCGGGCGACACATGTCAAAGTTGGCTGCGTGGGTTCCTCAGAGATGGGCCTCCTCTGCAGAACTGCGAAATCCCCAAGACCCGAGAGAGTTGAATGTAGTATTCAACTCCCCCTTTCAACTCCCGAAGCGTGAAACACGTTAGTTCTTCAAGTCGAAAGTAAGGCGCCCCGTCGGTGATGGATCCAGAATGTATCTGCCAGAGGTTATCTTGAAGCCATCTCGGCGTCCCCCGAAGTTGTCCTTATTCAAACATGTGGGAGGAGTAGATGTCAGATGAGGTGCAGGCGGGCAGTTTGCCACGACCGACATTACCTCGCCCGTGTGGAGGCCCACCCATCAAGTTGACCACCCCAATTTGGAAGCGAAGCGCGGATCGCACTTGTTTACTCTCCGCCCTATTCTCTGCCCCCTCTATCTACCTCTTGGCCCCTGGTCCTCCCTCCCTGTCTCTCCTGCCTATATCATCGTCCCACTCGTCGTCTGCTTTGGCGCTCTCTGACTGTGCCCCTCTTCCTGAGAACGGTGCCGAGACCGATGCTGTTTGTTGCGCATCTTGAGTCTTTTCATTGTAGTGTGCCGTTCTCGCCGCACGTGCGGTTCAGATCAGGATTCGTGCAGCGTGGACCCCAAACAGATGAGTTAAGGTGGTTCGGTGCGCAAGGCGTCGCCACTAGAACGCGCAATTGCGCAACATGTCGAAAGCACTGTTTGGGGAACATGGCCTTATCCAGAGACCCCCACCATCACCACCATTAAAACAAGCCCACAAGTGGCCGTCACTACCCCAAACCATTATCCCCCAACCAAAACCCCGCGTAGATAGGAAACCTATAGCCATCACTGCGCATCATCCCCCCAAACATCGCCATCAGCATCGTGATAGCCATTTTGGCCAAGTTGTTTCTCTCAGAATGAGAGCATCGATGATGCAATCAGCTTCCATATTCGCGGTGGTTGCCACCGCCGCCTTCCATATCGTTCGTGCCTCTGGCTTGCGGGTGCCCGTGGTCGAGGCTTTCCACGTTGAGGCTGGCATGGAGCACCTGAGCGACATGCTGGCCGACATCGGGACCATCGACGATTCGAGCGATGGCGGCGAGGTGGCTCCACGGACACCAGTTCATGTGGCAGCCCAGCAGGTTCCATCGCCGCCAGGGCCGATTGAGCAGCAGGTTCCTTTGTCGCCAGGGTCAGTTGAGCAGCAGGTTCCATCGTCGCGAGGGCCAGTTGAGCAGCCAGTTCTACCAGGGCCAGTTGAGCAGCAGGTTCCATTGCGTCCAGGGCCAGTTGAGCAGCAGGTTCCGCCAGGGCCAGTTGAGCTGTGCGACGTGCTAGCGCTCGGGGTCATCGAGATCGACGACTCGCCTCCAGAGAAGTCGAAGCACTCGCAGCGGTCTCATGCTCACGCAGCGCAGGCTCGGGAGGGCAAGGCCAAAAAACACGCGCAGAAGCTGAGGGGCCAGCTGGCGAAGCAGAAAGCGGAACACGATATGAAGCTCAAGAGCGTGGCGTTGGTTCCGGGTGTATCACAGCTCATTGGGAACAAGTCGTCGACGACGCTCGGGAAGCTCAAGCGACACTTGACCAGCGACGACT